TATTGCCATGTTTCCTTTGAGCCTTGTGGATTGTTTTGACTACATCCCTTCCCTGCCTTAGGAGGATTAAATGCTGATAATGGCATCTGTATAGAGATGTTTGGTTCAATTTTTTGCCTAATGATAACATGGCCATCTTTGGTCTGAGAGTTTGGGTCTACTGGGAGCCTTGCAAAGCCATACCAATAGGGTGAGCGTTGGCTGTAGGACTGCATGTTTTCATCCTTCTCTCCATCTCTTTCATTCTTTTTGTTGTTGTTCTTCTGAGGAAGAGGAGAGGTTTTTAAGAATTTTTATGAACAGATGTGGGTTTTAGTGATTTTCAGATGTGATCTGAAAGTTTGAGAACGCCTCGGTTAGGTGATCCAATCAGGAAAGAAAAACTGTCACCCACTCACTTCTCTCCATCCCATCACCTGAATTCTTTCTCTTGACTGTTCTAAAGCAATCCTGCTGAGAGCAGTGCCCACACTCTGTAGGCACAAATATGTCGGTAAATCTGATTTGACCACATGTTCAGAAACTGTGATTATTCACAGTACGCAAAGTGCAAAGAGCTGAAAAGGGTAATTCTGAGAGCGTAGCTGTCTGCAAGAAAAAGGCAGACCAAGGATCAACACAGAGAACTGAGCTCTCCGCTCAGCAGCACAGATGAACTTTGTCATCTCAAGCAACTAAAGTTACATAGAGGTGAAGCTGATAATTTGTATTCCTGAGACTCTTTGTTAAGCTTTAACCGCTGATGATAGCCTGTGTGCATCTTTGGGCTATTACAGGCAAGTGCTGTTAATTTCAGGTCATAGATGTGCTAATGCTGACTCTAGGACACAGCACTGACTCTACAAATGCTTAATGGATGGAGGTAGTTGCTCTCATGGAGATTAACAACCAGGTTTGAAGTTGCTATTTTGCTTTGTCTTTTTCTATTACTCTTCTGCTGTGCAATAGCTTTTTTGGTGTCTTTTTTAATATGTTATTATAGCAGTCACAGCCAGTTTTCTTTTTTCTTTTCTGACCTAAAGTTAAGCTAGAATTTTGTTTCTGAGTTCAATTGTAAGAGATAAATTTGAGCTTAACCTTTTCTGCTTGCGCTCTGGTCACATCCTAATTGCAGTGAATTATTCTGTCATTAAGAAATGCTTTGCACTCACCCCTGTAAGTGCAGAGTCTATTTCCATGTGCCCAGTCCATTAGGAATGGCTCCAGCTGTACAAAACGACAGCATTTTTGTTACTACTTTTTATCTTTTCTCAAAGCTTGTAAGCAAACCATATCATAAAAGCCATTCGGACAACTGCTTGTTTAGACTGACGTCTTTATCTCCAGGTGACTCTTTTTGACTTGATTGGTTTGAAGCACAAATGATAAATCTAATCTGGCTGCACTGTCTGAGTAAGTATCTGTTCACACAAGTTGCTCAGAAACACAAAAAGGCTACCAGGTGACTTCCCCCTTTTTATAACCCAATGAAATCCTGCTGTAGGAGTACCTGGGATACTTGAATTCACAGGACTGCCAGTCTGCTATTAACATCTTTAGCAAGACTGTGCTGTACACAGAGATTTATTCGCTGCTTTTGCACCAGAGATGAAGCAATTCACCTCTTTGAAGGACTTAAGTGGATCACAGGCTCCGTGTACAAGGGTGAATTTCACTCCAGCAGAAAGGCAAAAAAAACTTTTTCTAGCAGTATCTCAGCATTTGGTGACACCTGGGGAGAAATGAGCATTCAAGAGGCAACATCCCTCTGCAGATCAAGTCCCATGTTCTTCATGGGACAATTTCCCATGACAGCGGTTACCCCTCTGACACTTTACGTGTTACTTATACCACTTGCCTTAGGGGCCCAACATTTAGCTGAGCTTTTGTATTTGTATTTGTATTCAGAGAAGCAAGATGGGGCAAGGAGTTACTCATTCCTCATATCTAAGTCACCTCCTTCAGGGGATTGTCTCACTTTCTCCATTGTCTGTTTTCAATACGAACACGTAAATAATTGGCTAAGACTAGGTATCAAGCTTTCAGATGAGATGCATCCCCCCTTGTATGTACTCTGGCACATATATTTGCCTTTGGGTGTATATTATATGCACCCTTAAATCCAGAATGAGAAATAAGTATTCCTTGGCCACTCCAGGTGGGACCATGATAGGTTTGCAAACAGTGGGCATCCAGGAAAGTGCAACACTGTGACACATCTTTCCACTGTTTCTCATGTTTTAACAGAAGGTTTCAGTGAACAAATGAGGTCAGTTTGATGAGACAGTGAAAGTCAGCAGTCCAGGCTGGCTTCTACTGTAGTAGCATACAGCTGAGTGAGCCCATCCTGACTCTGGCTATGTCACATAACTACCTCATTTAAGTAATTTTGTAAACTGACCAAACCCCATCTTGAAACTAGGGGAGGTGTTTTGCACCTACTACTTCATAATAAGAGGCTCTTCCACAAATCCCCTGCACTGTTTATTCTCATTTTCATTGGAAGTTCATTCGTGATGATCATGCCCCTCCTGGCAGTGCTCTTTTAACTTTAATTCTTCTTTCATTGGATGTTCATTCTTCCCCTTCTCCATGCAAGCAGTCCTTTCTCCTCGTAGCCTTTATTTTTCTAGGGTGTGTCCCACCTGTTAAGTGTAAAACCCGTTATTTTAGATTGAAACAAAGCATTGATTCAAAATCAAAAGAAAGAAACCCAGTGTGGCACTCTTCTCACCTTACTATAAACATCTGCATCTACTTGTCTTAAGTGTCAGACCAAGCAGCACAGATCACACACAGTCAAGAAAACAACCAAAAGAAAGAGATCCTCAGGTCCATTTTGCGCAATCTGTGCCTTCTGGAAGGTCTCTGATAGAAAAGCCAGATTTCCAGCTTCAGGATTGCCCTAACAAGGCATGAAAGATGGAAATTGCAAAACTGTTTTCCAAGTTGATACTCACAAGCCTGAAATGGTGTGTATTTCATGGACAAAGCTAGTGATGAGAAAGGATTGTTAGGTGCCAGACCACAACACTGCAGAGTTTCTAAGTAGTAGTGCTACAGACTATGGGTCTAAGTCCCTGAACGCCCACCAAGAAATAGGAGGTTTGAAACCATCTGAGAGAAGGAGCACAGGTCCCCCCTTCCCAAGTCCTCCTTATGAACTGTTGTATATTTTAACTATCAGGCCATCATTCCTGTTCATCTTGGGCACCTAATACTGACAGTGTGTGGTTTGGGTGGGAAACACCTTTGCTACTACAGCTCATTTAAGCACCTGTTAGACGGCATGTTGGAGCTGGTCTGAAATCAGGTTAGGGAGTGTTCCTCATGTTTTGAGTAGACTTCACACCGCACATGAAGACAGGCCCCAAATTTTAAAAGAAACGGAGAACAGCAGTGGCTGTTCACCTTTGGACAATTCATTTCAACACCATCTTCCCTGCAATCCCAGTGGTGATAGATACACCCAGGATGGCTTTGATCTGCCTCAGGTTCTGATAGCCGAGAAGCTGTGTCATCATGGGTTTCACGCAGGCTGTGCAAGCTCATCCCAGGCCTTGTACAGTTGCCATAGTAGCTGATCCATGTTGAGGTCTACTCTACAACACCACCACTGCTATTAATACCCAAGCTTTAGCCTGTTGGTGGTAAAATGGGGATAAGAGCACTTCCTTACTTTTGAGGGATGCAGTGAAGATAAGTACATCAAAGACTGAAAAACATTCAGGGTAAGATATCAATATTGTCTAAGTTTAGCTAAATTTATAATCCAGAAATCTAAAGCAGAGCTAATTGTCTAGGCTCACTTTATAACTGATGAAAGGAAACAGGTATTTTTCATCTAACCACAGATCTGGCCTACTTTGAACATCTGCTTTAGGAGGAGATGAATCATACCCTTTGCCCATACTGACCAGTTCTCTCTTGGTCAGGAAGAGAACTATGGGTCAGTAGCTGAGGTGTAATGTCTACATTCTGTTATTTATAACCCCACTTTTTAAACAATTATGGCTTTGGCAGAGGAGGCCCTGGCTTCATATAGAGGTTGTGTGCAAAAATGCTCTTTTTTCAAAGTTGACTGGATTTCAGGTTGGCAGTAGAATGTCAACATCCTTTCCAAGTATCATGAGTACAATTACCCATTGACTGTCCAAGAAGCCAGGCACAGATTCACCTCACCTGATTTTGTAGGCTTACCTAGCTGCTAGGTTATGGATCGGAATTGCTCTCATCGCTACAGTAAGCAGAGATCAACAAGAATATCCATAAATTGGTCTATATGTTTCATTTCAGCTTCTGACTTTGAGTCTTCTATGCCAGTTGTTTGGCAGGAATTGACTACAGTCTATGTTAGGAGTATCTTAAGCTCTCCCTCCCATTGTGTTTGAGGCTAGGTTTCCTATCACCTGTCTTTCTCTTGCTTATATACTTTATATTTGAACTAGAGCTCCCAGCTGTCTCTCTGGTTCATGCAACAAAATATGCCTGGCCTATTCATCTGGCATATTTGTAAGCATCTGCTTGAGGATGACCTTCTGTTGACTGTAGAGTAGCTCTCCACTGCCTATACAAGATGTTCACAGCGATTAGGTCAGGTGTGTCTGTGTTGCAGAAATCAATGTTTAGTTAGATGATCTGTGATTCCCCTTCATATACAAGGGAAGCCAGGGCAACTACAGGCCCTGTGATAGGTCTCTCGAAGACCTCCATCAGGTGCATGCATCTTGAGAGCTTGACTCAATTGCATAAGCTTAGACATTTATTGCTATTTGAAATGCTCTGCGGTATTTAAGACAACAGATATGAGACATGAGATATGTGAAACCCATGCTTTTCCCAGAGTGCTGTACCCAGGAGAATATCAAGTGCACTAGATGCCCATGTTTAGGTAGCTGAATCAAGCCCTGCATGTTTCATTGGCTTGACACATATCATCATTTGTCTCAGAGCTGTCTAGTGTCCCTTTACAGAGGACATCTGAGTATTCCAAGTGTTCATGTTCTTTTTTTTTCCATCAGGTCCGTTCTGCTGTCAGGAAAAGGTGGCACCGCTGGCAAGACCATCACTCCCTCCGAGCACGTGTGGCACGTGCTATGTCTATCCCCACCTCTCCGACACGAATCAGCTTCCATAGCATCAAACAGACAGCAAGCGTGTGATATGCCCCGCACATACACGCACCACATGGTGGCCTTCAAGGTTTTTCTTTCTTCACTACCCCCAAGCCCCGTTCTTCAAACTTTCTTCCTTTATTCTGCACTGCTCTCTTTTGCAATGAGGTGCCCATCACATTTTTGCGGAGTCACATCTCCCATATTCATGATGCTGCTTTAAGGCAACCAGGCAAAAGCCTCTTGGAGTAGGTGGTGGCGAAACAGATTCAAAGAAGAAAGAGATTCAGCACGGACTGCACCTTGTGGAAGTTCACAATACAAAGTCTAAAACAGCACACTGGCAGGAACAATCAATTTTTTTCTTTCTTTTTTTGTTTTTTTCCTTCTGTATTGTGCTGAACAAAGACTATTTTTAACATACTGCCTATCTCACCCTGTACATTGATTCCCAATGATTTCAACAGTTTGGTGTATAGATAACCCGTTTCTTGTTTCTTTGTAAAAATTTCTTCTCTGCAGAACTGTCATTTGAGAACATGTGGCAGCAAGAAAAAGAGCATCTGAAAGGTGGCGTGAAAAATCCGAATTTATCTACCTTCCCCATTTCTCCCTTTGATAGACTGGGAGTTGGCCAGGGCATCGCCGGACTCTTTAACACAGGGCACTTTGCCTTGCAAGAGCCATGCCCTGTTCATAAAATTTTGAAAAGGACAACAATATCTCTAGATAGCTCTATAAAATATCCTTATTCCTCTTAATCCCACGCTTTCAACATAATGTAAGTAGCCTTTGGAAAGTCTTTGGTTTTTTTCAGGTAAGAAGATTGGGGTGGGGAAGGACAACAGAACATGTTTTCTGGGTTTAAAAACTATAAAAGGGAAGCACTGTAAAAATAATAATGAGAAGAGGACGTTTGCATTGTGAGGATAGTGCTACATGCTGCACAAAGATTATCTATTGAGCATTTTGAACTAGAGCAGATGTATCTACTAGGCTTTTTATGTGATGTTCAAAAATACTGTATATTTTCAATAATAAACACTACTCTGGGTTGGTTTCAATAAAACCAGGCATCATTTTCTTTTCTGTGGAAAGGGAGAGGAATCCTATCTTGAGAGTGTTTTTGAACTTAAGATCAGGGAAAGAAATCCTGTTTGATAATGAGCCAATAAGAACAACCACCTCATGATAAAATCTGAGCAAGAGGGCATTTAAATCTGAGCAAGATGAATTGTCTCCCTTCTCAGTTCATGGTGTTACACTGGACTCTGCACTCTGCACTCCCCTTCCCTCCATTGGGCTTTGCAACAGCAGAAAGGAAAAAACAGGTTGTGTAATATATTCTCCATCACCTGTATCTCACCGGCGCTAGAGGAATTTGCTCTTTCCACTTTAGCATACTTATTCCAAATTTGCTTCACGTGTTTTAGAGGACTTTCCAGCACAAGCTGGATTTAAATGTCCAGATTTAAATTGGTCTCTTTCTAGTTTTCAGGACTACCAAGGACTGGAAAACATTTTGGATGACACTGATGTTAATCCCCTGCTTTTCATAGAATCATAGAATGGTTTGGGTTGGAAGAGACCTTTAAAGGTCATCTAGTCCAACTCCCCTGCAATGAGCAGGGACATCTTCAACTACATCAGGTTGCTCAAAACCCCGTCCAACCTGACCTTGAATGTTTCCAGGGATGGGGCCTCCACTACTTCTCTGGGCAACCTGTGCCAGTGTTTCACCACCCTCATTGTAAAAAGATTTCTTCTTTATGACTAGTCTAAATCTACTCTCTTTTAGTTTCAAACCATTACTCCTTGTCCTATTACAACAGGCCCTACTAAAAAGTTTCTCCCCATCTTTCTTATAGACTTACGTATATTCAGGTTCCTCAGGTGGTCACAAATGTGATCTTCACTTAGAGTGGGAGGGACTTTGCTCCCCCAGTCCCTGTCTTGCAGTCCATCCACTCAAGAGGTGTGGGAAGAGAGGTTGCCAGTGAACACTGAGGAAAAAAAGTTGATGAGTACCTCAGCCTTCTCCTTGTCCATTGTTACCAGTTTGCCAGTCTTGCCCATCAGGGGTGGGGGGTATGCTTTCTTTGACCTTCCTTTTCTCGTTGACATACCTGTAGAAGCCCTTATTATTCTTTGCATCCCTTGCCAAGTTCAGCTCCAGCTCCTCCTTGGCCTTCCTGAGCCCATCCCTACACAACTGGGCAGTGTCCCTATACTGTTCCCAGGATACCTGTCCCTGCTTCCACTGCCTGTTCATTTCCTTCTTGCTCTTTCATTTGACCAGCAGGTCTCAACTCAGCCATGCCAGTCTCTTGCCTTCCTTTCCTGATTTCTTACACCTGAGGATCCAGAGCTCTTGTGTTCTGTGGAAAGCATCCTTAAAGATCTGCCAGCTGTGTCCTGCTCCCTTGTCCCTGAGGGCAGTTTCACAGAGGGTCCTATTGACTAACTCCTTGAAGTTTGCTTTCCTAAAATTTAGGGCCCTGACTTTACTCTTTGCCTGACCCATATCCCTCAGGACTGCGAACTCCACCAGTGCATGATCACTGCAGCACAGGCTGCTTCCAATCTTGATGTCACCAATTAGCTCACTTGCGTTGGTGACTATCGGGTCCAATATCGCATCCCCTCTGGTAGGGCTGTCTATTATCTGGCTTAAAAAGTTATCCTCAATGCATTCCAGGAATCTCCTGGATTGTCTACAGCTCACCATGATACTTTTCCAGCAGATGTCAGGGTGGTTGAAGTCCCCCAGCAGGACAAGAGCCTGTGAGCACGATGCCTCCTTGTAGCTGGAGTAAGGTTTCGTCAATAAACTCCCCTTGGTCGGAAGGCTTGTAGTAGTCACCAACCACAAGGTTCCCTTTACTGCCTTAGTCTCTGATTCTTACCCATAAGCTTTCAACTTGCTCATGGCTATTCTTCAGAGACAGCTCTTCAGTCTATCCACTTCTTGATGTAGAGGGCAATGCCTCCACCCCTCCTTCCTCGCCTGTCCCTTCTGAAGAGCCTGGAGCCATCGATAGCTGCACTCCAGCCATGGGATTTGTCCCACCAAGTTTCAGTAATGGCAACTGCATTGTAACTTTCTGGCACCAGAGTAGCTTCCAGCTCCTCCTGTTTGTTGTCCATGCTGCATGCATTGCTGTAGAGGCACTTCACCTGGGCTGTCAGCCATGTCACCTTCTTAGAGGAACACTCCTTAATTCCTTTGAGGTATTTCACTGGTGTTTCCCTGTCAGCTCCTATTACCTCAGCAGCCCCTGGCTCATCTCCATAAGACCTCAAGTGTGCCTCAGTGCAGCTAGCATGTCTCAGAGCAACAGGCATCCTGTCCTAACAGCTCGATCACATTCAACTTTGAGCTGATTGGCAATGCACAGCAAATTTAAATTAATAAATTAAAATTTTGTAACTCTTCCCCCTCCTAACTCTCATTTGGATTCATGTGCCTCAGTGAGATAACTGAGGGAGGAGGAAGAAGGGAGATTTGAGATTCCATCTAGTTAGACCTATCATCTCTGCCAAAGAGGAGGAGCAAGGAAGAGTCTTCACATAGCCTTCCATGTGGCATACCAACTAGCATGATAGAACCCAGTGCGGCAGAGATGCAAATAAGACTGGAAATGTGCCTGCCTATGCCACTCACTGCTGTCAATACCCTGAGTTCTGCAAAGTGATGCAAACTGTCTTCATGGTAGCTGGGAAACAAAAGTGTCTAATGAGAGAGGACTGTGTCAATGCTTTTATTCATTGCATGCATCACAATAGTGATGCACAGCCTCCTGGCATTTTGTGTTTGAAGGGACAGATATATCTGCAGGTTAGAAATACGTGGATTGAGTACCTCTGTGTTTGCTCTGTCTCTAGGCCAGTCTGGGGTGAAAAGGGAATTTGCAATGGAGCAGATACTGTCAGAAATTGCAGGTTATTGTTGCTACCAGGAGTGTGTTTTCACAAAAAATAAAATCCTTTTTCCAATTAGTATTTGTCCAAATCAGCGATTTTCAGTCCTTCCAGCACTGGACCCTGTTTCAAGCCAGCATGGTGGACATAAACCATTAATGGGATACAGCTTATGTTAATTTTGAAGTGATTGCCATGCTAACACATACACTACCTCTACTTGTTTTGCCATGGAAGCTTTCTGAAGTCTGTCATGCCTGAGGTACTGACAGCCACGGCTCATTTTCTCTAGAGCACTGTGATGAAAATCAAGCTTGAATTTCTACCGTCAGCCTTGTAAGAACAAGATTTCAGACCATCCCTGAAAGAGCAATAAAAAATTATTTTGAAGGTGGCTTTTTTTTTTTTTTTGGTCTTCTCAGAGACTGCAGAGCCAGGGAGAACGATGGCGATAGATAGATAGGTGTGTCTCTCGGAACACAGCATAGCTGGTGGGGGTCATAAAGGCCAGAATTTGAGAAAAAAAGGCAAGGTGTAGGTTATATCAGGCAAAGTCCTAGGGAGTGACTGCTTTGTGGCAGCTGGTGGAAGGAATATAATTTATACCAGCTGAGGGTTTTCTATCTGAGATTGGATACATGGGGCTCAATCCAAAGCTCTTCACATTATATACAGTGAGTGCTAGCTTTTCTGCACATGGCTGCCCTCTAGACAACCTATGACTAGTTTGTAGGCTGCCTAACCTTTTAGTGGGCGCCAAACCCTCCTCATCAGCAACAAGAAGTGGAATAGTTGTGTCCTGGAGCTCCTGTTCTGGTTCCCCTGGAGCCACAAGCTGAGGCACACTATCTGTGGGCTCTCTGCATTTGCAAGGTGGTCACTGTCAGTCTGTTTTGTAGGCATACATTTCAAGTCTCTGGAAGGACTCTTACTGGTGTCAGTAGAATTGGTGTCAGGCTCACATTTGCCCTCTCAGTATCCCTTTGTGGTTCCCAATAAAGAGGCAATTCCTATCTTTCCCTTTTTCTCCTCCATACCAAGGACCAGGCAGACCATAGGACAATCAAGATCTCCTGATGAAAGCTGCAATAGAAAGAAGGAGTGGAAGTGCTTTGAAGGCTGTTTCTCTTTCCCCCGATCTGTCAACTGATCAATATCATCTTACTGCTTTCTTAAGTTCACCTATCTGCCTGTATCCTTCACTTGGTTTTATTAGGTGCAGTAAGATCCTACTCATTACCATAATTATGAGTCAGTATAGCCCATGTTAGCTGTGAAACCAACCCACCCTTCACATTTCAGGGTTGAAGAGCTAAGGTTCATCCTGAATTTTCCTCCTGGACATGCACCCAGCTCTGAAGTACAAGTGCAATGCAGCAACACAGCAACATTTTCACTCCACTGCTTTCTCTCTCCTATAGTGGGGTATTTT